ATGGAGATTATATCACCATTATGTGTAACACCACAAACCCCCCATGTGAGCTGGCTTGGGGACCTGAGCCCCGCTTCTGCAATCCCCTGCTCATTAGATTCATTGATAAAGGAAAACAGTTTACTGGTTGGGATGGTGTCAATACCTGGGGCTTACGATTATAACTCCAGAGAGCTTCAGGTGACCCTGAACTCTTATTCAGCATCACGAGGTGACAAGCGCCCCTTGCCACAGTGATAGGACCTAATCCCATCCTTGTCCCAAGACTTATTACGGACACAAAAATAAACAAACCCTTGATTTCACCTCCTCCCATTTTCAGCCCGTATCCTGCCACTGAAGAAAGATCCACTAAACAGTCTCTTACACTCTTTTCTCCAATCCGCCATTACCAGCAGTCCTTAGATTTTATTGAGATCATAAATCAGGCATATAACCTTTTCAATGCAACTAACTCTGAACTAGGTAAATCATGCTGGCTTTGCTATACTGTGGCTCCTCCTTCCTTGGAGGAGATTGCTACTTCCGGCGCTTACAATATCTCTCATAATTCTTCTTATTGTAAATGGGGTTCTACGACAAAAATTACCTTGGAACACATTTCCGGGTCAGGACTATGCATTGGTACAGTCCCGAAGCAGTATTCCTCCCTTTGTAATCAGACCGAAGCCTTTTTTGCACCCAACGGTACTTTTGTTCTCCCACCTCCCAACACTTGGTGGGCTTGTTCTTCAGGACTAATACCTTGTGTCTCCAGGAGTATCCTTAATACAGGAGGCTTCTGTGTTCTTACCCTTCTTTTTCCTCATCTGGTATACCATTCAGATCAGGAGGTCCTGCTGTCATACTCACCCTCGCTCTCTCCCTCGCTGCATTATAAAAGAACTCCTGCAGTTGTGGCCTTAACCCTTGCAACTTTAATCAGCACCAGTGTGGCTGCAGGGATAGGCACAGGAACTACTGCATTGATACAGGGGCGAGATCAATATAACGCTTTGCGCACTAGCTTAGACCTCGACCTTCAAAGAATAGAGGAATGTGTAACTAAGCTTCAAGATTCTGTTGGCTCATTGGCAGAAATAGCTTTGCAAAACCGCAGAGGGTTGGACCTCTTGTTCCTGCAACAAGGGGGTTGTGTGTAGCCCTAAAGGAAGAATGTTGTTTTTATAGAGATCATGCAGGCATCATTAAGGACAACATGGCAAAAATCAGGGAAGGATTGAAGATCAGAAGAAGACAATGGCTAGAATCTCAAGGATGGTTTGAGTCTTTATTCAACAAATCCCCATGGTTGACCACTCTCATATCCACTCTCTTAGGACCCCTGATTATCCTATTTTTATTAATCTCTTCGGACCTGTATGGTCAAACAACTCATGGTATTTGTCAGACAGCAGATAGAGGCTCTCCAGGCAAAACCAATACAGGTCCATTATCATCACCTTGATATCATGGATTGAGAGTTTAAAGGGACGGCTTGCTATGATGGCACTACTAGCCATCCCCCTTGAGAGATGAACTGGACAGTCAATGATGGGTATGTGAGAATCCCCCTTTGATGGCAACCTAAGACAGGAAGATAGTCTAATGCTACTACCTTATCCAATGACGGGTAAGCCAGGGGAAGGATACTCCAACCTAAGGCAGGTGCAGTTCCCTAAGGGCCTAGCAACCTTCGATCCCTAAACTCTATAAAGTAAAAAAGGGGGACCTGTTGGGAGCCTGAGACTCAGCCATTTCTCAAAACTGCTGACAGATCTGAGCTGGTGACTTTTCATTCTGCCCACCCTCCTCCTGTGGGCACAGGTTGGAGCCCGTGGCCTTGGCCCGCAGCCTTGGACTCTTCCCCATTCTCCTCCCGTGGGCACAGGACAGAGCCTGTGGCCTTGGCCCATGGCCTTGGCCCACAGCCTTGTGCTCTTTTCCAGTGAACTGCCTTGGTTTCAGTTAATCAGTAGAATCCTCCCTTAGAGTACATCTGGGCCCCTGTGTTCTGGCTGATATGATTACTCTCACTCTTTACTCCTTTGTTCTCATTCTCTATTTAACCTCATGCTTGAGCTGCAATAAACAAGACTTGATCAGAACCCTGTCTTGTCTCCATTTCTCTTGTCTCTTGCCCCATCCAAATCCCCACTCCCCAATCCAGGTACCCCGTTGCTGACCCCGCAGGCCGGGGCAGTACGGAAGTGTTTCAGGCTTTTTTTCTTGTTTTTCTGCTGTTCCTTATGCAATTCCTACACCAAAGATACAAAATTTAAGGGTAGGAAAAGGCTGCAAAGCATTAATTTATGCCTTTTTGACAGAAGTGTTTCAGTTTAATGAGCTCCCACTTTTTCATTGTTGGCTTTAATTCCTGAGCAACTGATGTCTGATTTCAAAAATCCTTTCCTGCACCTATATCTTGTAGGCTACTGCCTTTGTTTCCTTCTAACCATTTCAGAGTTGCAGGCTTCACACTGACGTTCCCATATTTTGCATATTGCTTTTAGAACTATTGTTATACTCACGTATGTTCCTAAACTGTGAGGGCTCAGAGAATAGATGTATCAGGGTATCTTTGGTTGCATATAGTAGCTTTACAACATCACTCATACTTTAAAACCTTGAGTAGTAGTGCAAAATGTGTAAGAAGTCACAGACACACAGTTTTCTTTTTGGAGCTTCCTTGCTGAGAATGAATACTAGAGACACATTATATAATAGAAGTATGATACTAGACATGCAACTCCTGGTTATCAGAGACAGTTCTCTACAGTTTACACAGAATCAGTAAAGATCTGGGCCCATCAAGCTAAGCAAACACAGAAAGACTAAGGAATAGAAATTTACAAAGAAAACTGTGAGTCTTGGCAGTAACTGCCGTGAACTACAAAATGAGGCTTCTCTGACAAAGACTGAGAGCAGCACTGGTCTGTGAGCATAAACACAGTATTTAGAGGGCAGTTTGATGAGCACAACATGTTCATTTAACAAATCAATAGTAGCTTCCCTAACTAGGGTATGGCCTCCACAACTACAAGCTTATGGCCAGGTTTTACAGTACTCAGGCATGAATTCCAGCCTATAAAGTGGACTTTAAATTCAACCAGAAAGCAGTTGGCTATCCCATTATAGTCATGCCACTATTGCAACAGCGGGTGCATCATGCCTGCCAGATTGGCTGTGTAGTACACAGTGTCCACAGCTGGGTTAGCTTGTGGATGCCTTTTGTCCCCCAATGGTCTGCTTAGCATTTTCTAATATTATGCAAGCAGCCAGCTAAGTTCCAGCATCATTTCTCTATGTTCTGTGATCAAAGCATGAGGTATCTTCAGCAATAGGGTGTGGCCATCTAGTTGTGGTAGGCAACCAAGAGTACTGGCAATAAGATTTACTGTTTTTGGACTTCGGAGGCCTCCCTGACCAAGAATTGTTAGGGAACTATTTCACTTCCGGCAGTGGGATTTTTGTGTAATAACCTATGGTTCCTAGGATCAGGATTATGCATCCACACAGGGTACCAGCTTTCAAACTCAAACACTCTTATTTTTAAATGATATATTTTAAATCAGTGTACAATGTAGTAGATTTAATATGGCTTTGGGATGTTGTGCAGTGGTGTGGAAGACTGAGAGGGGTCAGTTCTGAGCTCACAAAAGGTGGTCTTCCTCTAGGATCTACATCCAACTAGAAAATCCTGATTGGTTTATAGAGTATTTGCTATTTGAATATCTTCTTCTCACTGAAAAAAGCAGAGCATGGTCAGGAAAAAAGCCACCCCTGGTTTCAGGGGCCGAACATTTCCACACCATATTAATAATCTAGCAGATAATCACATGCAAATGGTTTAAAAGTTTCTTTTCAAGGTAGACGATGAAAAGTTTAGACAATAATTTTGTATTTGGCTGTCTCTGAAAGTTATTGGGGAAGAGCTTTTTGAGGAAACTTCCTGTGGGAGTCTTATGAATTAGTCACATGTGCCCAGCATGTAGAGCATACCAGCACACAGGAAACTGATGGCCTGATATAGACATTTTTCATATCAGAGCACATCTTACTTCTATTTCCTAAGGTATGACAAAATAGGCTGACAAAACAACTTCAGGGAAAAAGGTTTTCCTCGGCTTCCAATTCCATACATAGAAGATAAAAATAAACCTTTAAAGAAAATAAACAACCAATCATTACAGACTGTGAAAAAATTTGAGGGAACTTCAGGGTAGTTAATAAAAATTAAAAATTTTCTTATTCAAAATATGATTTTTAAGAAGAAAAGCTTGCCATTTGGGGCACTATCCCAGGATTATAGCTACATCCCTATGCACACCTGAGAATGTCATGTGAAATTTCTAAACTTGACTCTTGATAGATGATATGACAGATGTGATAGGACAATTCTTATAAAAGTAAAGCAAATTGCATAATGTATATTTTCCTTTTATATTAAATTTTTTATTGCTGAAAGAGATAAGTGAGGAGATTAGAAAACCAATTCTGAGCTGGGCCTGGTGGTGCATGCCTTTAATCCCACTAGCACTCAGTAGGCAAAGGTATGTGGACCTCTGTATGATGAAGGCCAGCCTGGTCTACATAACAATTTCCAGGCCAGCTGGGGCTACAGGGAGACCCTGCCTCCAAAAAAAAGAAGGAAGAGAAAGAAAGAAAGAAAGAAAGAAAGAAAGAAAGAAAGAAAGAAAGAAAGAAAGAAAGAAAGAAAGAAGAGGAAACTAATTCCATACCATATCTTAATATCTTCATGAGAGTTTTAATTAAGCCTTGTCATAGAAGTTTATTGTTTTATTACTATATGTAATTGAGAAAGCTCACAGTGTTCAGGATGAGCACTTAGGTGTAGCAGTTGCTCTTTGTCTCTGTATTAAAATTTGAAGATCTTCCTTGTTTTCTGTATGTTTTTCTCATCAACAGGAGGCTGCCTCTGGCTGCCAGGCTGCAGAAACTTCTTCACGGTGGGCATGTCATTGATTTGGGTTTTCAGGGCCTGCTTGTAAACAAATCACAGCCTTACAAAGACCATACCAGCCATTAGCACATCCCAGGATATCAGAGTCCCTCCATCATTTTGAATGTGGAAGATAGAAATAGACATCCAATGACAGGGAAAATAAGAGGAAAATGCAGAAAGCAATTCACTAGCATTTTGCATGAAGACATTGTTAAGTCCTCCTTAATTGCAGTCATCGTTATCTTCTTCCTTACACCTTAACCCAGTAAATTCACAGCTATAGTAGAATATAAGGAAGAAAAGTGAGTTCATTAGTTACCAAGTCAGAGGAGTACCCAAAGAGATGAAGTGAAGCCTTGGGAAAATTGAGCTGGAATTGAAGATAGAAAATACAGAGTTTGTCTTAACAAATAAAAAAAAGTGAAAGAGTTTACTGTATCTTATGAGATCATGGTACTTAAGGATGGAATGATACACTCTCCAATAAAGAGTGTCATTAAAGACATTAGAAAGGAAATTGAAAAATTTCCAGAATCAAAGGAAAACTAAAATACAACTTAACAGAACCTTTGGGATGTGACTAAGGCAGTTTTAAGAGGAAAGTTATGGTGAAGAGTCCATGAGTGTTTTTCTTAACAATTCAGAGAGACTGCAAACAAATAACTTAATGATGCACCTCCAGGACAAGAACAACAAGAACAAGCCAAACTGGAAAGTAGTAGGAAGCAAGAAATACCAGGGCATAAATTACAGAAATGCAAACAGCGGGGCTGGGGCTGTAGCACAGAGAGTGCTTGCCTAGCAAGCATAAAGCCCTGGGTTCAATGAGGTGTGGTAGTGCACAACTGTGATCCCAGCAATTAGGAGAGGAAGGAAGATAAGAAGGTTGGAGGTCATCCTCAGCTACACAGTGAGATTGAGGCCAGCCTGAGATTCAAGACTTCCTGCCTCAAAACAACAATACAAACAATATATATGATCATTCAAGTAAAACGTTGCTCCTTTAAAAAACATGAGAGAAATTGAAAACATATAGCATATATAATCTAAAAAAGACAGAAGAACCAAATCAACAAAAAGATTGAAAGGGATACTATAAAAGATTCCAATAAATGCAGTTCATTAAAAATATTTTTAAAACATACTTCAAAATTAGGAAGATATATATCAAAAGGAAAACAACAAAAGACAACAAATGCTTGTGTAATGTGGAAAAGAAAAAAAATCTTCACTCCTGGGAATATAAATCGGGAGGAAAGGCCTCAGTGTGATAATGTGGTTGGAAGTTGGAATGTGACAGAAGCTTACACTGGGTCATTCTCATTGTGAAAGGCAAAATGAACTTCTGAGGAAGCACCTGGCTCAAACTTCCTTGTGTAACTAGTGAAAGTTCATCTGGAGGCCCAGGGATGGAGTGTGCAAACCTGAAGTTTGGGGGGGTCAAGCACCACCAACACAATGGTCCCAATATTAGATTCCTGGTGGGAGATGTGGGATAGATCACCTGCAGCAGAGGGAAGCTGGCGATGATGTTGGGCTCCAGTTCTTCCATGTTGTAGATCACTTCAACCAGGTGGACGTCAGCCTTGCTTAGCTTGTTGCCAACAAGGTAGTCTTGGCCATGGCTCTTTAGCACCTGTGGAATTCAAGGGAATAGATCCTGAGCACACACAGACAGATTGGGGCCCCTGTTTCTTCCTGAGCCTCTTAAACCTCCCCTTCCCCTGATGGTATCTCACTGGGCAAGTGAAGCTGTAAATCTCTTTCTAGGTTCACGGCTCACAAGAGAGTGATGAGGAGGCTTGTCCCTCCATTATTGCCCATGCAACCTTAATCTCTTTATGGCACCTCTGTGGTGTTTACTCATTCACCCTTAAGACTGCATCCTATTTGCACAAGCCAAACAACCAAAGAGAATGTAGTGTAGCCCTAAAACTTCAGAATGTCAGTGGGGTGTAGCAATTCACATCTGAAATCCCAAATTTGGAAAAAGAGTCAGGAGATTGCCATGAGTTCCAGGCCTCCCTACATTTCTCCCTTTTCTGCTCTCTTCATTTCCTGGTCTAACTCTGTAAAATATGAAACAATTCTGGATGGACTTGAATTCGTCGTTTCCTCTGCACTATTACCTCGGACTGTAACCTACACTATTGCATAAGAAATTCTCCGGAGTGAATTGTACTTAGGTTTGCAACTTATTATTTAATGCATGGAATATAAGATGTATGACTGATGGAGAGGGGTGGAGATAAAACCAATGTAATAGTATGTTAATTAGGTGGAGAGGTCCCATATGTTCATTAAACATTTCCTTCAAACTTTAACAATGTATTTTTTTTTTTTTTTGGTCTTTTTGAGACAAGGTCTCCCTGTAGCCCCAGCTCTCCTGGGGCTAGACCAGACTGGCCTTGAATTCACAGAGACCTGCCTACCTCTGCCTCCCAAGTGCTGGGATTAAAGGCATGCACCACCACGCCAGGCTCCCAATGTATGTATTTCTAAAAAAATATTTCATCGTTTCTCAGCCTTTTGGCTAAGATCAAGTGTAAAAATATTTCATTTATAATTTATATTTTATCTGTATGAGCATATTTCCTGCATGTATGTGTCATGCAATGCCTGTGGAGATCAGAAGAGACAGTTGGATTTTCTAGAACTGGAGTGAAAGATGGTTGTTCGTCACCACATGTGTATTAGGAGTTAAACCCAGGTCCTCTGCAAGAGCAGCAGCGCTCTTTACTACTGAGCCATTTCTCCAGCCCTAAGAATGTATACATTTTTGTCTTATGTATGTATGGTACACATAGGATATGACACTGGATCTCAGCAAACTAAAACTTTTTGAAACAAAAGTTAACTTCAGTAAAATTCTTGCAGTTTTTCTTCACAGTTTATGTTAATACAATGCCTTGAAGATTGGGGTACTAAAGTAATACTGAGGGACATCCTTCAGAAGCGTGTGCAGGTGACTCAGGGACAGCTGAGGACCTGTTTCTCTGCTGCCTTCTTTTATGGACTTTTTATGTCCTGAAGATTGCTATGTTGAGATCCTACTCCTCAGTGTAATGACTGTTAGTAGAGTGTGCCTTTGGGAGGTCGTTATGAAATGAGCAGAAAACCCTATAGGCATCAATGCCATTATGAAAGAGACCCTGGGAGAGTCCCTTGACCCATTGGCCTAGTAAAAACACAGCTAGAAGTTGGTTACCCATGAAGCAGGAAGAAACTCTCATCAGTTACTACTTCTGAGAGTACTTTATCCTCTCCTGTCCAGTCTCTGGAACATCTGTTGTTGGTCTAGAGAGATGGCTCAGTAGTTAAGAGCACCAGTGGCTGTTGCAGAGGACCCAAGTTCTTTCCTAGCACCCACATGACGGCTAACAGTGATTTGACACCCTCTTCTAACCTCTGGGGGCATTGTACTACATCACTACATGAGTGCACTTACATATATGCAGGCAATATACTCATAGATGAAAAATTCAAAAATAATTTTAAAAATCTGTTGTAAAAGTCAGTATATGTAAAAATATCGTTCTTTTTGTTTGTTTGCTTTGTTTTGTTTTTTGAGACAGGGTTTCCTGTAGCCCCAGCTCGACTGGGTCTCTCTATACTGACAAAACTGGCTTTAAACTCCCAGAGATCTGCATGTCTCTGCCTCCCAAGTGCTGGGAGTAAGGCACATGCCACTACACCTGGACAAACTGGGTCTTGATATATCACTCCTTTAAAGCATTTTATTTAGTGGGTCTGGATGACCCCAGACCCACAATCCTCCTGTCACAGGATCCTGTGTGTTAGGATTATTAATCAATATTTCTCCTAAAGTCAAAACAGCTTCCAGGAACCTTTTCAAAGGCAGGAAAATAACGGTTCTTGGCTTTCTCTTTCATCAGGGCAATGTTTGTGTCTTTGACCCCAGGTGGGTTGAAGGGATAGTTAATAAATATCTCATTCAAATCTGCCAAACCTTCTGAATACATATCAATCCTGAAAGACAAAAACAACCTGTGTCAAATGTCTCCTGCCTCAGACTTTCTCAATTAAAAGCCTAAGAGACTATCAATAGGTAACTAGGGACCTGCTATGTACCAGCCATTTTGTTGTGAATTCTATTACATATTAACATTGACTTTATTCATTATTTTTCCCTTATGAAGTGCTTGTTGGAAGCTCTGAGATCCTTTCCTATGCTTATTTGGTTAATTTGGTTATATTTTTTCAGTTTTCAAATTCCTTAGTGTCAAAATTCCTGACTGCTATGTTTACAGCTTTTTCTTTCTGAATTTCTCATTCAAATCAGGAATTCTTTCTTATTTTATTGATTTTGTTATTTTGCATCTCCCTAAGTATCATTAAAATCATTCTTTGAAATTCTTTGTCAGTCTGTTGGTTTTCTTCTATGTGAGAACTTGTTACAGTTGCTGAGGTCCTTTGGTGGGTGGCATCATGCCACCTTGCTTCAGGCTTCGTGTGTCCCCATGTTTGTATGCACATTTGATGGTTTGGCTGCTTCTAACACTTACTTTGCTGCTGCTGGTGGTTGTGGTATTGTTTTGAGACAGAGTCTCTCTGTAGGCCCAGCTGAGGACTGGAACTTTACCAGGCTGGGCTAGATGTCGCAGAGATCTGCTTGCCTCTGCATCCAAGTTCGGGATTAAAGGTGTGTGGCATGCTTTTACCACTTTTATGTTAAGAGTGATTTCAAGAATCCATGGCTTTCTGCTACCCATGACTTGTAGGTGTTAGTTGGACATGCTGGATTGGGTTTCATTCCAGGTGGGCACTGCAGTGTTTGGGCACTCTGTCTCAAAATTCTGAGTGAAATAGACAATATTTTTGCTTTGGTCAGTTATTTTTGTAGACAACCATGACAGGAGCTTTAGCTAGACATTTTGATCTGATTTCTCCATGTTTAGAATATTATAAAATGTTACCATGAGCATTTCAGTACAAAAACAGATGAGGGTATATTATTATTTTTCTTGAAAATATACTAGATTGTGGGTCATTGACAGCATTGTATTTAACTCTTTGAGAAACTGCCAGAATTTCATACTAGATTTTAAGAACTATTTTAGCTTTTGGGTATGTGGTATGTGTGTGTATGTATGCACAACTGCACGTAGTAAGTCATGACCCCCTGCCATAGATGTGCCCATTCAGTAAAGGACTTGGATCCTTCCCATGGTGACTGCTGACAGAGAAACAGAAAGTCTACTGTACAGGGCTCTCTCCTTCAAGTCCTTCCCATAGAGGTTGTATTTGCTGGAAAGATAATTGAGAATAGCTCTGGTCTGCACCAGCTCCATTCCATCAATCTCCATCAAAGGCACTTGCTGGAACATCAGAATCCCATCTTTTGAAAAAGAAAAAATTAGAGTGAAAAAAGAGGGTGGCATGCTTTCAAGATGAAAAGAATTAAGCATGCAAAATGTTTATTAGATATTAACTATACATAATCTTGTAACATTTCTAATAAAGTACAATTACAGTTTAAAAGAACTTCTCGTAGTTCTTTTTCTTTGATTTCTCCCCTTTTATTCATTAGCTTGCTAATTCATTTCTGTTTTTACTACTCATTCAGATATATACCAGGAGACGTAGTTTTATTTGCGTTGACTTATTTTCATAGATATTCTGTGAAATTGGGAAAGAAAACAATGAGGAGATCCACTTGACAGCAAGATCAGTTCAGACAGTAGTTCATCTCCAGGGCTCTTTGTGTGCTCGTCTAATCAAAGACCAAACACCGAGTACAAGGAAGGCATGTGTCCCTGGCCTCATGGCTCATAGCCATTTCTCTTTCTTGACCCCCTCATACTCTGATCTGGACTACTGGTCATTTCAAAACCATCTCAATATCAATCCTTAAAAACTTCTGGGGAACCTCCTGGTCAAGTCAGCAGAGGAAAGAACTCAAGAAGCGTGCTGGGCTTGTTTCTCCTCCTTTCACCCAGTTCCTGTGTGTCCTTGGACAAGACCAGTGGGGGATCCTGAGTCGTCTGCAGCTCAACAACAGTGCAGAAAGCATAGGACAGTAGGGAGAAAGCACTGGGATGCTTCATTAGCAAATACTCAGAGGTCCAGCTCCTTTCCACCTTAAGGGAGTCTCAAATGTGCCTGAAGAGCCCCCATCCCTTAAATTTGAACTATTCTCTGCTTCCCTGTTCGACCACTCTAAATACACCAGCACTTCCTGTGCCTAAGCCTTTTAGTGGACACTCTCATCTGGGCTCTTTAGAGACTTGTTCTTACCACTTCTTAGCTTTTCCAAGTCTTCATTGGTGTGTATAAATTCCTCTTCATACTAGACAGCAGAAACAGTAAATGTGCTGTTAGTTTTTTCTATAGTATTGTAGGCTTTTTGATTTGAATATATCCTCTTGAATACATAGTAAGAGTGAGGTAATACTTCTGAGTTTGGCAGTATACACAAGAATCTGATATTGGGGGAGGTGGGACTAGAGAGATGGTTCAGCGGTTAAGAGCAATGGCCACTCTTACAGAGGACCCAGGTTTGATTCCCAGTACCCACATGGCAGCTAACAACTGTCTATAACTCCAGTTCTAGGGGATCTGATGACCTCTTCTGACCTCTATAGGCACACAGGTGAGCCAACCTATATATAGACAATATATTCAAACACATAAAATAAAAATAATAAAATATTTTAAAAAGAATTTGATAATGAATATGTGTAAATTTATGTTTAATCTTCCAAGAAGAGGGTAGTGAATCACAGCATGTATCTGTTCATTGTAAGGTTACCTTCACCTTCACCTTGATCCCTACCACCAGCGATGGCAACTTCACTGGCTGCTCTTGCAAAGGTCCTGGCTTTGGTTCCCAGTACCTACATGGTGGCTAACAACCATCCTTCACTCCAATTCCAGGGGATCTAACATCCTCTTCTGGCCTCTGTTGGCATTGCATGCATAGGTGTACTTACATATATTCAGGCAAAACACTCATACATATTAAATAAAAATAAGTAAAATTTGTTTTTAATAATTTTTTCTGGGGCTGGAGAGATGGCTCAGTGGTTAAGAGCACTGACTGTTCTTGCAGAGGACCTGGGTTCAATTCCCAGCACCCACACGTTGACTACAAACCATCCTTAACTCCAGTTCCAGGGAAATTCAATGACCCCTTCTGACCTCCAAGGCATTGTGTACACTCACATACAAGCAGGCAATATACTCATACACATAAAATAAAAATAATATATATATATATATATTTTCTGTGTAATGTAACACATCAAGAAAGTTTAGTTTAACTTGTTTTCACAGACTTCTAAGGGTCTTCTGGAATGTTTAAAGTTAACTTGGGCCATAAAAGACGTAATTTTGAATTTGGGAAGTTTGCCAAGCATTAAGGGTTTAAAACATTTGATCAAAATAAATAGTAGGTCACTTCGAAATGATAATAATTTAATTAGTCTCAGAGACTGAACACAAATTTTTGTTTTTGGGTTTTTTGAGACAGGGTCTGTCTGTAACCCCAGCTGGCCTAGAACTTGCTATGTAGACCAGGCTGGCCTTGAACTCACAGAGATCTGCCTGCCCCTGCCTCCTGAGTGCTGGCATTAAAGCCATGTGCCACCACACCTGGCCTTGAACAGAAATTATTAACCAGCTCTAACCAACTATAACTTACTGCTTTAAAAAGATGTATTTATTTATCATGTATGTATTTGTGTATGCCTACTGAATTTATGTGCACTGTGCATGCAGGGCCCAAGGAGGCCAGAAGAGGGTATCTTATCCCCTGGAACTGAAATTATAAGTGATTGTGAGGCTTCCAGTGTGGGTGCTAGGGTCAGAACCTGGATCCAGAGAGCACTCTTAACCACTGGGCCATCTCTCGAGCCCCCAACTCCAAGTTCTTTAAAACAAACATTAATAGATAAACTAGTCTTAACTCTTCTAATTATCATTTTTTCAATATGAAAAAAAACTTACCAAAGGTAGCAGAAAACAAAACAAGTTACCTGACAAATCTCAAAAATCTGTGATTTATAGGCTAAGTACCAAAAGGTAAAGGAAAACTTCCTGCTTTCTGATTGTGTCTCCCGAAATACAGCCATTTAGATCACTTAGAGATGGAAGCTGATCAGTTAGTACTCAAGTAAAGGAGTCTATGACTCTAGAAACAGTGAAAACATACAGAATTATCCTGATACTTGGAATAATGAAGATCTGTCAAGACAATCCAAGAGTAAAGAATCCAGTTACCTTAGATATTTAGCATACACACCATTTGTGTTGGCTGTACTATGGTAAGAACTAGAGAAAAATAAAATGCTTTCAAAAGCTGACTTGGTAGCTGATGGAGAGAGACACCAGTTATACAAATATTAAAAAGCAAGAAAAGCCAATGTGGTTGAAAAAGTTTTAAAACAATGAGATTTTAGAATTAAAATAGGCCTTTTACATTTTTTTTCCCAGAAACCAATGCCCTATTTTACTTGGTTGAAATTTTTTGTTAATTTATCTTTCTTTCATCTGTATGAGTGTTTCGCCTAATGTCTGTGTGCCGTATGTGTGCAATGCCAATAGAGAGCAGAGGAGGAAGTTAGATCCCCTGGAACTGGAGTTACGGTTAGCCACCGTATGGGTGGCTGGGAAACTAGCTCTGGTCCTCTACAAGAACAGCCAATCCTCTCAACTGCTGAGCCATCTCCCCAGTCCCTAAACAATTTTTTAAAAGGATGCTCAAGTCAGCAACTGAAACAACAGATTTTTTAAGGAAAGAAAGGTTTGTTTTTACTTGCTCTTTTAGAGGGTACAGTCCATCCAGAGGACAAGGCATCAGGCATGTAGACTCATGGTGGTAATGTAGATTCTTGTGCATCTGGGACTCCACTTCCTTCCAGTTTGGAAAAACAGGAAACGGTGTGCACAGGAAGTGGTGCCAGGGTATAGAGACCTCAGAGCCTGCTTCATTGACATACTTGCAAGTTTCCTCCTAAATCTTCCACAACCTGAAACAGCACCACCAGCTGGGGACCAAGTGTTGAAATACATGAGCCTCTTGGGACTATTTTATATTCATAGCACTGTACAAATATTTGTTCATATCCTATTGGCCAGCACCTAGTCACAGGACTACATATAGCTACAAGGAAGCTGGGGAATTGTTGTCGTTAGCTATACATGGGAGAAGTGGCATGGACAGTGAACTAAAGGTCAAGAAAGGTCAGACTTATTACAACTGAACTCCTAGAGAAATAAAAATGAATGGGCAGGGTGTCATAGACAGAAAGTGAGATCCTTGAATTTAGGATTCTGGAGTTTACATCAACAATTCTTGCCATGTTTTAGTGAGCAAACGAAGGCAGTAAATCAATTCAAAGTTCACCCTTTCCTTTTGGCCAGCTTGTCTTTATCTGAGATTCCTCTTTTCCTCATTATCTTCTGAGTCACAAGAGGAGGAATCACATTCACCAAGGCCTCAAAGTCTCAAATTCCACTTGAACTTCTAAAATTGGAGGTTAATTCAGCACAAACCATTAGCAGTGTGTATTCCTTCTACTTGACGAAGCACAAATGTGTCCCATAATATAGGCTATGAAGCACCCCTATCAATACATTTATTTAATTGGAATGAGGTATTATATCCTGTGCTGGATAGCTTTAGTGTCAACTTGACACACCTGGGTTGAGGGAGCCTCAATCGGGAAATTGCCTCTATTGGACTGGCCTGTGGCCATGTCTGAAGGGCATCTTCTTGATGAGTGATGTGGGAGGGCCCAGACCACTGTGGGTGGTGCCACCCCTGGGCAGGTGGGCCTGTGTTGCATAAGAAAGCAGGCTGAGTAGGGGCCAGGAAACAAGTCATTAAGCAGTGATCCTCCATGGCCTGTGCTCCAGCTCCTGACTCCACGTTCCTGCCCTGGGTTCATACCTTGGGCTCCCTGATGAACTGTGACCTGGGAGCTGTAAGACAAATAAACCCTTTCCTCCCCAAGTTGGTATTGGTCAGAGTGTTTTGTCACAGCAATGAAGAACAAACTAAGACATATCCTTTATTAAATACTGATCTGGCTGGAGAGATGGCTCAGTGGTTAAGAGAACTGTCTGCTCTTGTAGAGGACCTGGATTCAATTCACAGAACCCAAATGATTGGTAACAGCTGCGTGCAAATTCCAGTTCCATGGGATCTGACACATTATCTTTGGCTTTCATGGGCATTACACACATGGGTGCACTTACATATAGGCAATACACCCATACACATAGAATAAAATTAAATTTTAAGGGGGTAAAAAAATTTAAAGTACTGATCTGACTGTCAATGCGAATTTCTCTGTGTTGGTAGAGGGGTGCATTTATTAAACTAAACAGACAAAA